AATAATGGCTCTCACTGTGGTTCGCTGGCGTCCCAAAGCTTTAGAAATGGCTTTATAACTTTTTCCAGACTGATAGATCTCAATTACTTTCTTTCTCATTTGTTTCTGAATTTCTTTGGATCTCGGCATGATGTCTAGCTTTTGAGGATCTTTTGGTCTACTTCACTTTGTCAGGCAGGTCCTATTTAAGGGATTTCTTGATTGCGAACAGGTGTGGCAGTAATCAGGCCTGGGTGTGGCTAGAGAAATTGAACTCAGGTGTGATAAACCACAGTTTTAACAGGGGGGCAAACACTTCTTCACACAGGGCCATGTAGTTTTGGATTTTGTTTTCCTTTAATAATAAAAACCTTCATTTAAAAACTGCATGTTGTGTTTACTTGTGTTATCTTTTACTAATATTTAAATTTGTTTGATGATCTGAAACATTAAAGTGTGACAAACATGCAAAAAAACAAGAAATCAGGACCAGAAATCACACCACTGTATATATATATATAAAAATTATATATACTGTATGTATGTATGTATATATATATATATATATATGAGACGATTTTTAGGTTCACTTTGTGAATGATATGTTGTCATGCTTAAAAAATGTAAACATTTATTTCATTGATTAATTAAACATTTATATTATAATTTTTGTTTGGGTCCTGCATATTTACATAGTATAAAGTGAAGAAATAGATGCAGGCAATTTCTAGGAAAAGACTTTATTAACAGAAAACATCAGAATACACAATGGCAGGCTATACTAACTAAAAAAAAAAAAACCAAAACAAATACACTTGACAAAGAGACAATGAAGCATCAGAATACAGAAAACTATAGAATACTTATATAAATGTTTGACAATATCATACAATGCTTTACAAGTTATCTCGAATTTAAAAAGCTTGCAACATGAGATCCTCTGAGGTCCCCTCTCCATCATTTGAAAATAACACGAATCTTCTTGTCTCCCACTACCAACCTAGAATGAATAATGCAATTGATCAGATACTTATGGATACTCAGATACTCATACTCGCATATTAAATATAAGGATTGAAAGTTTCAAACATAAAAACTCTAATGTACATAAAAAAATGAATGAACTATTAATTCTTGTTTCAATCTGATCCGCCTCAAAGTCAATAATTATATATACTTTAAGTTGATACAATAAATGACTTTACACTCTTCCTAGATGAAGAAAATCATTCATTGTGTAAGGTGAGCAGCAGGAATA